TCATGTGATCCCAAAGGAAATGGGGTGGTAAGGTGCTGTACTTTACAGAACAAAAAATTAGGCAAAAGAAGCTACACTCTTCAGTGGAACTTGAACTTTTTCCCACAGTTTCCTGAATAACTCAATGTCCTACAATGAAATTGAAAATGTAATAAAATACTTACCAACAAAGAAAAGCCCAGGCCCTGATAGATTCACTGCTGAATTCCACAAGAAATTTAGAGAAGATTTAATGCTAATTCTTTGCAAAATCTTTGATCAAGCTGAAAGGGAAACAATTCTCCCCAATTGATTCCTGGAGGCAAATGTTACACTGTTACCAATACCAGAGAATACCCAACCGAGAGAGAGAACTACAGGCCAATCTCCCTAATGAATACAGACGAAAAAATCTCAATAAAGTACAAGCAAACAGAAAGGCATCAAATCACCAAGATTATGTATCAGGAGTAAGTGGGATTCATCCCAGGAATGCAGGGATATTTCAATATATGCAAATCAATTAATGTAATACACCTTATCTTTAGAGCTAAAGGCAAAAATCATATGATTACCTCAATAGATGCAGAAAAAACTTTTGATAAAGCCCAACACAGATTTATAAGAACTTTACAGAAAATATGAATAGATGGTCTTTATCTCACTCTGATAAAAGCTATAACAAACCAGCAGCCAACATCATACTAAATGGACAAAACCTTCAAGCTTTCACTTTAAAATCAGGAAAAACACAAGGATGTCCACTGTCACCACTCCTATTTAATAACTGGAAATATTAGACAAAGGAATTAGACAAAAAAGAGAAATAATAAGAATAAGGATAGTAAAGGAAGAAGTGAAATTATCATTATTCACAGATGACATGATTCTCTACACAGAAGACCCAAAAAACTCCACCAAAATGCTTATAGATTTAATAACCAAATTCAGTAGCATAGCTGGATATAAAGTCAACACTCAAAAATCAATAGCATTCTTGTGCACAAAGAACAAACAGGCTGAAAGAGAAATTAGGGAAACCACATGTATGGTTTGTGTCTGGATGTCCCTCCAAACCCTCATGCAGTCAGGAGGTGAGCTTCCAGAGTTTACAATTGATTCATGGCCCAATGTTGGAATTATGAATGTGAGTGCTACACCTGCCCTGGGGTGAATAGTTTGCACACAGTGTAAGAGAGGGAAAGAGGCTGCTTGTCACTGCTTCTCCCTTTTGCTCTTGCTGATTTTTCTATCTTCCACCACCATGAACTGTTGCCCTCTGCCATGTGCTACCTTGCCTTGGAACCAGCTGAGTATGGACTGAAAACTCCACAACCCGTGAGCTGTATAAGCCTTTCCTTCCTTAATTTTGGGTGTTGGGTATTTTGTCCCCCAACAAGAGAAAAGTAACCCAAAACCACACCTGTCATAATAGCATCTAAAAAACTGAAATACTTAGGAATCAATCTAACAAAGGATCTATACTATGAAAATTACAGTACTCTGAGAAAATAAATTGAGGAAGATTTCATAAAATGGAAAAATATTCTGTTTCCATGGATTGGAAGAACCAACTTTGTCAAAATGGCCATATTCCCAAAATTTTTGTACATATGCAAGGCAATCCTAATTAAAATACCATTAATATACCCCACAGATCTAGAGAAAATATTCCTAAACCTCATGCGGAACCAGAAGTGGACTACAATAGCAAAAGCTCTCCTGGGCAACAAAGGAGAGGCAGGAAGCATCACAATCCTTGACTTAAAATTAAACTACAATGCCACTGTGATAAAATCAGCATGGTACTGGCAAAAATACAGGCCTGAAGATCAGTGGAACAGATTGGAAGATACGGACCCAAGTACAAACATGTTCAGCCACCTTAACTTTGACAAAGGGCCAAGCATGTTCACTGCAAGAAAAGTAGCCTCTTTAATAAATAGTACCTTGTTCACAGTTAGTAGCCTGGGGTCAGGCACTGAAAAGTTCTGCTTGGCTCTGGGATTACAGTGTGGATGCAACAGCTCCAATCTCTCCTCACAGATTTGTCTACCAAAGCTCCTGAGCGCTGTTATACACGGAGCCCACAATGTGCTGAAATCAGCACAAACTGAGTTAAGATCAAGGACAGCATCAAATAGCTTGTCTATTTGTGAACTAGACTTGCCCAAGATCATGCACCCAGCCACAGAGGTACTGTTTATTTGTGTTTGTTCCTTTGTTTGTTTTGAATGGAGGCTTGAACCCAGAGCCTTCAAGCTGAGCTTCATCCCTAGCTCCCCTTTTTATTTTATATTTTGACATACAGTCTCACTGAGTCACCACATTGCCCAGCTGGGCTCAATCGAGCAATTCTGCCTCAGCCCATGGATGCATGCCAGCATACTCAGCTCACTCTTGCAAATAGATGACCCATACTGTAGACTGAGATCCCATACTTTTCCCTAGGACTGGCACTTTTCCAGAGGATCTGCTCCCAAGAGTGGCTGGGAATGAGAAGTGGAAATCGAAATAATCTTTTGGTAATATACATACCTCTTATATGTCTGTTTTCTAGACATTTCCAAATGAATATTCAGTGATGTTGAACACGAGCATTGATCTCAGTGTCATTACAATATTAATAGGAATGATAGAATTCACATGAATGAATATTTGTCCAATAGATAACATTTTAATTAATCACATTGTAAAGGCTGATGATAACGCTATGATTTAAAAATATAAATCTAAACTAATATTTATTCAATGATTGATTTATCTCAGTATTATTTGTATATTCAGTGATGAATGAAAGGCATTTTTATAACAAGCAAAAGAGCAAATTCTTGTAGGTCTTGCCTAATGATTAGAAAATAAATGTTAGATTTCATTACCTATTATATTAGGACTTCTGCAAATATTAGGAGCTATAAAGGATTTTTATGTTATTCTTTTCCTTCTAGTTCTTTCATTGAGCCAGTGTAAATAAGTGAACTCAATTTTTTCACTACATTGCAAAGATTACAATAAAAGGCATGTATGACTATATGCTACATAATTTCAGAGACATAAGAAAAGAACAAAATGAAAGACAGGCAGTAGAAAAAAGGGAGATAGATCTTTTGTGAAAGGGAAGTGGACTAAGAGATGAAGAGAGAGGAATAGAGGAAAGGCAGAGTATGGTAAGGAAAGGAAGAAAGAATTGTTCTGTGTTATCCAAATGCACCAATGCCCTATGAAGAATGTATTCATTTTTTATTAAAAACGTGTACTAATAAAAATTAAAAATTTTTTAAAAAGGCAGAATTGCACTTTGAAAAAAACTTACATACAAATTAAAAGTTCTGTATTATTGTTTCCTGCTATTACTCACTTGTAATTAATTATATCCTAGTGTGTTACTGTTTTTCTATTAACATCAGCAGTTGAGATAACATAGATGATGACATATTTTAAAATTTAATTAAGTTTATTGGTACATTTTAGATGTACATCATGATCATGTTTGTCATAGGGAATTTGCACCCATACACGATATATTTTGATTCCTCTTTTTTCCTAATCCCCCCTAGTTCCTTCAAGCCCTCTTATGCTCCCTATTTACAGATCTTTGATTCTATTTTATCCTTTTTGTCTTTTTTTCCTTTTCCTTTCTTTCTTTTTCCCCTTCCCTAACCTTGTTCCTCTCTCCTTTTGAACAACTTCCTCACGTTTCACAATATCTGTTGTACATTTTGATCCTTATTTACTCTTTCAGTTTCTCACACCAGGGAGACAATGTAATGTTTACACATGTGAGTCTGATTTATTTCCCTTGAGTATGGTCTCAAGTTGCATACATTCACCAGGAAATGTCTCAACTTTGTCCTTCTTTGTGGCAGAGTTGAACTCCATTATATATATATATATATATATATATATATATATATATATATATATAAATCTTCTTTACCCATTCCTCAGTTGATGGGCATTTGGGATGTTTTACTATTTAACTATTACAAATAGGGTTGCTATAAATGTGAGTGCACATCTATCATTGTGGTGTAATGTTTTTAATTCTTCCAGGAAGATATCCAAAAGGGGAATAGCTGAGTGAAATAAAACCTCTAATCCTAGTTTTTTCAGTGCTATCCACACTGATTTCAACAGTTGTTGCATCAGTCTACACTACAGGAACTCATACAAAGAATCAATAACTGAGATCTCATCCTATTAAAAACCTTTTGCACAGCAAAAAAAAAAAAAAACCAAAAAACTAATATAGTAAAAAGACAAACCATAGAGTTGGAAAAAAATTTAACCAGTTATCCTCAAAGGACTTATACCAAGAACATATAAAGAATTGAAAAGAATCAGATCCCCAAACGTGAAGACATATTTAAATAACTGGTTATAACAACTACAATTGCACTACAATATCTGAAATTCTTAAAAAATATATAGTCTCAGCTTCCTATAAAAATAATCTCTAAAAAATGAATTAAACAAAAACAACCACCCCAAAAAAGTTTGTTATATTCCTGAAGGAATTAAACCTCAGGTAGAGAAGAATCTGGATATCAATATTTAGAAGGTGATGCTGATGTACCATGATGTTTCATCATATCTGTTTTTCATCAAAAATATATTTTATGTTACTATCACTAAGAAAGCTAAAATACATACAAGTACAATAATTACATAAGAAAAGGCATAAGCTTCAATGTTAAATATTACACAATCTCTAGAAACAAATAAATATGGAAATACAGCAAATATACATTTGGATATGCAAGGAATACTTCACAGATAGTGACTAAAGTTTGAGAGTGGAAGTGGGAGAAGGTAAATGGAAGCAAATTATCACACACTCCATTGCAACCTACCCATGCCTATAGAGACATTATAATGCATTTGTGAAGTGAAGCTATCCTGCCGCAGTGAACACAAATTCCATGATGCTCCTTTGGTTCTAATTCTCTTCCTTAAGGAATCTTTTCTGACTACTCTTCTTCCAAGATATTTAATGCAGATTCTTTAAAATAGGTTCCATCAATAGTAATGAGATAATTATTATTATCCTGAGGACATGCTTATACTACAACAGAACTAATTTTGGAGTGAAGCAGTAGGTGGAGGAGCCCTTGGCGGATCTGCTCGGTTTTCACACTGTAGATGACTGGGTTGAGCACTGGTGGAACCATTAAGTAGATATGAGCCATGAAAACGTGGATGAGGGGAGAGGAATGCTTGGCAAAACGATGCACAATAGACAAGCCTATCATAGGCACATACAGAATGAGCACAGCACAGATGTGGGAGGCACAGGTGTTGAGCGCCTTTAGTCTCCCCTCGCGGGACGCAATTTTTAACACGGCATGAAGGATGAAAGCATAAGACACTAAAATGCCCAGAGAATCCAGGCCCCATAGCACAAAAATCAAAATCAAACCATATATAACATTAAATTTTGTGTCAGCACAGGCAAGACGGATCATGTCCTGGTGCAGACAATAGGAATGAGAAAGGACATGGGAATGGCAAAAGGTGAAGAAAGCCAGACGAGCCAAAATTGGGATGAGTGCAATAGCGCTCCTGAGCAGGGCTGCAATCCCAATCTTGGCAATCAGTGTTGGGGTGAAAATGGTAGCATATCGCAGTGGGTGGCAGATAGCTACATATCGGTCCAGGGCCATGGCCAAGAGCACAGATGATTCAGTGAAGGAGAAAGTGTGAATCAGAAACATTTGGACCACACAGACATTGAACTGGATCTCCCTAGAAATGGACCACAGCACCCTGAAAAGTGTTATCACCGGGGACAGGGACATGCCCACATCAGTGAGAGACAGCATGGCCAGGAAGTAGTACATGGGCTCGTGCAGCCTGGGGTCTGTCCGCACAATGTGCAGGATGCCGCAGTTGCCCATCACTCCAACAAGGTAGAGGAGACAGAAGGGGATGGAGATCCAGTGGTGAAATTCTTCATAGCCAGGGATACCTGTGAGATAGAATGTGGAGGACAGTGCGCTGCTGGCATTTGAGGTTGCCATGGGGATCACTGCTCAATCACAGTCCAATTTCACAGTCACTCGCCAGTGGGGAGGACATTTGATAAGTCCAAGATCTGCATTATGAAAAGAGTGGGACAAAGGAATAACTACTGGAAATAGGGAGAAGTATTTCAGGACAACAATATGCAATAGAACAACCGTTGGTGAATTCCTACCATCCTGTCTACTGAAACTCTGTATCACCTCTAATGCTTTTTAATAATTATTTTTTATTCTCCTTAATGGTTTGAGCAGTCTTCCTCTCTTACATCTGGTATTCTGAGCAACCTCGCTGAAGATAACAGTAGGTGATATAACAACCACTGTTAATTCCTATCATTTTGTTTTGAAACCCTGTGTCATTTTTATTGTTCTTGCTTTGTTTTGTTTATGTCTGTGATGTTGGCATTTTGCTAATCTTTTTTTTATTACTCTCTTTAAAATAAAAATAAATAAATAAACAAATGAGAAGGGGAATAAGTGATTTAAGGAAGGGAGAGGAAAGGAAGGAAAAAGGTTTTTATTTAAAAACAAAAAGAGTAGAATAAAAAAATAGAAGCAGATCTTCTACAGATGAAGAGGGGCAGAAAAGTTGGTGGTAACAGAGGAAAAGGGGCAAAGAGGGGAGAAAAGGAATTAAAATGCCTTATGTACAGTAAACAGAAATCAAATAAGAATTTAGTGTTTAGCTCTAGATTCATAATCCACCAGTACATTTTTGCTGTGTTTTTCCTTCATTTCATTTGTGGTTATTGTCAGTTACCCTTCTGTACTAACCAAGATCTGCCCCCTGCCTCCCATAAGCAAATCCATTCCATGACTCCTCTAAAACTACCCAGACAGGGAGAAACACACACAGACACACACACACACACACACACACACACACACACACATACACACACAAGCATGCATACACATAAATTCTAGATTAAATTTTAATATGTAATTTTATTAGAAATATTTTTGTTCATTTGACCTGGACTTTTATTAGCCCTTTTTAATGACACCTCAGGTGTTTTAAAATATTTCCTTTGTCTGCCTCAGCTTGTGATTTTCTTTCAGGAAATGGAACACCATACAAGGCACACCTACAGAATTCAAGGAAGAAGTGAACATCATCACACTTGTTCCTATTCATCTATCCCCTAATTTATGTCACAGGCCTGGCTTTTTCCCAAGATCAACTCTATTATCACTTTGCTTTTACTCTGTCTTTGCAGGTACTAATTACAGCTTAAAATACACTTTACAAAAGTAACATATAAAATTTTAAAGACAGTCTTTAAATAAAATATGCAATTTGGAGAACATTGAACCAACTCTGGCAATGGTATTAAAAATTAAGAAACATTTTCCTATTATATTTCAAAGCTGATACCTTGTTTAGAGACTAGTATTGTCTGTCAAAAGAAAAAAAAGCAACATGAGAGGACTTAGAGAAACAGTAGAAATATATACTTAAAGAAAAAAAACAAATAAAAAATTAAAGCCAGTGTTAGCCTATTAGCCTCTGACATTGATGCTCCATGATTTGTATAAAATCAAATGAGAAAAATATTTCACCACTTATTCTATGATGAAGAGAAACATCTCTAACGGAAGAAAGTTGAGTTCTCTCTTTAAATCCAGCTTGTGCTTTGTTTGCCAAGTGTCCACGCTCACTGCAATGTTTATAGGGTAATTTACAATCCATGGGACAGTTCTTCCCACACAAGTAAATAAACTGGCATCTTCCTGTGGTGCAAAACCTCCTTAAGCCTTTTGTAACTCTCACTTTCTCTTTCCATAACTCTCCTGTACATAAGCTCATTTAGTAGAGGTGCTTAGCAATGATAATTTTCTGGGAACTAAAAAACTATCAACAAGAAGTCAAATCAGCAAAACCTGTCTGCCCTGCTGTTTATATTATCACCGAATTCTGTCTCGCATTGTCTGACCTGATGCACACAGTCATGCTGCCTCCCTCACTCTCCTTCCAGCTGCATCAAAGCTCGGTGCTCTGACGCTGGGATTTCACACCTCATCCCTTTTTCTCATTTGCTCTTCTTACAACTTTCAGTACTTAGATTTCCAGTTGGGCCCCATAGTTTTGATCCTTCTTTTCTAATTTCTCAGCCATCATCAGAATTAGGAAATCTGCCTTTTCCCCTCCTCTCTGCTTACTGAGTTCTGACCAGTTCTCTGATGCTGGGATCTTTGTCTCTCATGGGCCAGAGGGGGAAATACACAGTTAACTGAGAGCTGGAAGTCACCTTACCTGAAGGCCCCACCTTGCTTCATGCTTAGTTATTTTAAGGCTTTCAATTGAGGCTTTACGAAGAGGCCCGGCCGTCAGATTTCTTCTTAACACTCTCTCTTCCTCTGCAGTCACACAGGCTGAGTTTACATAGTATTCTGGTTTCAGTGTTTGGTTGCTTTGTAACTATAGACAAATGGTTTTCTCAGTCTATACTAAAATTGCCTTCTTGGCCAACTGACTATAATAACATTTGAAAGTATTATGTTGGAAATTAAAGAAGAACAGTATTTTATATTAAACAAATTAGTGAAATTAGCATAGTTAGCACATCAAATACTATTTTGTAATAAAATATTTTAACTCAATTTAAAGTAAAAGAAAGCATAAAAAAGTATGAACTGTCACAAAAATACTTAAAATAATCACTCTGTGAAGTGATCACAAAATGAGGGTGGTGACGATGATGATGATGAAGATAATGACAGCCACTAACAATGTTGACAATGAATCCAGCAGCAATTTTTAACATGCATGAGAGGGCAGAAGAGATGCCCAGCATCTGGAGTATGCTGCCATGCAGGAAGATAACAGGAGTGGGAGGTTCACAAAAATAATCTAGATAGCTGTGTGATAAGATTAGCCATTTTCTTCTCAGTTTCAACCAGTGAAAACACAGCAGAGGCAGAGATATGAATTGTTTCTTAATATTTCCCTTTACTCCAGGATTACTCTGACAATTATGATAGGCCTACCTGTGTGCTCATTACTCTGTATAGTAGCAGTTTTGAAAGAAATATGTCCAGTGTAGTTTTATCTAGACAAAGAATGAGATCCTTGAGACTTCAGAGCAATGACTCTGATGAGCAAGGTGTATGATTATGAACTCTCTCTCTCTCTCCATACTCATATAGTGAGTATATATGTATACTAATTATATATATATATATATATATGTGTGTGTGTGTGTGTGTACATACACTCAGTAATAAGTAGTCTTATTATTCTATAAATCTTCATGGTATAAAAATGCTTGACTTGAATGTCCAACTCCTACCCTTCCTGATAATATCATTTCAAACTTCGGCACATGTCTACCTGATCTCTTCCAGCATGCCTAGAAAAGGGTGAGGGAATTTCTACAGTTAGTGCATAAACTAGAGAGTCTACTTGGTACACAAAATGGGGCTGAGATTTCTGGGCCATATTTAAGGTCATATTAAAAGCACTGATATTTGGGATTGAAAGGGACTTTGTATCTGGTGAAATTCAGATCTCTTTTTGAAATTACTGCTTTTCATATCTGAAAAGAGTCCTCCTCTCTGTGTAAATAACACACCATGGAAAAAGATCACTTGTCCTATAGTCAAGAGCATTTAAATCCTGTCTCTTCGGGAAATCTAACTGGAATTTGGAACTTACAATCATTAACATGAACAATAAAGATATTTTGCTGAAAATAATGTTCCAAACTTAGGTGAGTGCTGCTCATGCCCTCAATTAGTCTTTTTTTTTTTTTTTTGGTTTTTCTCCGGTACCAGGAACCGAACTCACGACTTTGCGCTTTGCCAGGCAGGCGCTTTGCCGCTCAGCTAAATCCCCAGCCCCTCAACTAGTCTTTTCAAAAGGTTCTTTTCAGCCTTTTTGTGCCTGACCTCTTCTATTGGTTTGCAACATCCTCTCTTGTGTTTTCCTATGTCCTGCAACTTATACGTTCCCCCCAAGTCTTACGTACTTGATAGAATGGTTCCTCTTGTCATTGGTAAATGTTCTAGTTCTCAATATAATCAAGAGGAGCTAATATGGCTTCTCCTCGTCCTTGGAGATATCAGGCCCCAGGATAAATGCAGGACAGTGGCTGTAACCCTGTCCCTGCCAACGTTTCAGTTATGGCTTTCCCCAAGGTCCTCCTTCTCTGACCTCAAGAATGTAGTGCCACACTTCACTTAGGAGTATGGAAGAAAGAATGCTTTGGGAATTGTCAAATGTTTGTTGCTTTGATATCTGGAACAGACGAAACAATGCAATATGAGATGAAATATTGGTCTACATGTACAATATGAGAAGACAGCATAGAATTTTTAAAATAGTGTAGCCATTGAGAGGGACTAAGGATTTTAACTTTGGAAGAGCATATAGATTCTAAAACAACAGCTGTTTTACACAATAATGCTTGATAATAATAATAATTATTATATAGTTACAATTATAATAGTTATTTGATTTGCCTTCTTCAAAATCATACAATAAGCAATAGAGTGAAAGTTATCACTCAAATCTTTACATTCTCTCATGTGGCAGTTTTCTCACTCTGTCATAGAGATCTCAACAAAGTAAGTTAAGTAAATATGATCTAATTAAAATGAAAGCTTAGCACAATGAATAACACCCATACAGACTTATCAGTAATATTAACTTCTAAACGCCTGCTGGCTAGTTACATGAAGCAATAGGTTGGCTTGTGGACCAGTAACAGATAGAAAGCATTTAAGCAGGGTTAGAAATTTAAATTATAACACCATTTAGCACAGAGGCCGGCCAGTTCTACTAAATGTCAAGTGTCTGAGTCTCTCAGTGTTGAATGTATTGTTTTTAATATGTTCAGTAGTAGACGGCTTGGGCTGGGGATTTAGCTCAGCAGCACAGCGCCTGCCTGGCAAGCGCAAGGTTGTGAGTTTGATTCCTGGTACCGGAAAAAAAAAAAATCTCAGTAGTAGATGGTTATATAGGGAATTAATGCCTCAAAAAAGGTAACATTTCTCATAAAAATACTTTAATTACAATGATAATCCATAAACAAGAGCAACAATCCCCTATTATGAGAAAAACTTTCACATCGCAGTTTTTATACCTCCCTTTCTGAAACTATCACGAAAATAATTTCTTCTTACTTCTGTCCTTGACTCTGAATGCACTCCAAATTTTCTTTGCACTTTAATTATTCTAATACATTATTCTAATACAAATTTAAATGTCATTTTGATCATCTAAATTTGATGTGATCAAGGATCATAAATTCAGAGGATTGTTGTTAGTAGTCCATGCTCATATATACTTTTACACATATGGTGTATGTTTGTCAGCTATACAACAGAGGGTCATATAAAGCAGCTACACGTCCCTCCACCATCAAATTCTCTGCCATGCTTATGTTACAAGCTCAGTTCTGAAAATCACACTAGATGCCGAGAAAGGGATGGTTAAATGTCTGCTTTTAGAGCTGTGAGAAGAACACAACCTAGACCACCAAGCATGACACTGGGTCTAATTTGAAAATGAGGGATTTATCCGGGAAAACTGCATCTTGATTTATTTTGCATCTGCCCTGCTCTGGGTCTGACTGTAATAAATTGTGTCAACATCCATTCTTGCTCTCTGGGTTGACTTGGTCAATAGTGGATACTGAAAAAAAATAAGAATCCATAGGATGCTGAGTTTGGGGTGCTCATTCCTTCACTCCCATCCAGCCCCTCACTTTGAGTCCTCCTGGTGGTTTCATCTCTAGAGAGGCAGGGAAAGCCCTCAGGTGCCCTTCTTCATACACCGCCATTTTGGAGTTCTGGTAAAGGTTTCCATTTCCACTTTAAAACTATGATGACAGCTAACCTTCCACCTGAGCACTAAACATGGAAACTGTCTTGATTGTTCTAAGTCTTACTGATTTCAATGACTGCTTCACTAATTTCTTCAAATGACCCACATTTGAGGATGACATGATGTTTTATATTGGTTTTTGTCTTCATCCATTTATTTCTGCAGTGATCTTTATTATTTATTTCCCTCTGCTAAGTTAGGTTTTGCTTGGTTCTTGTTTTTCTATTTCTCTAAAATGGATTGATGGGTTGTATATTTGATGTTTTCCATTTGGTGTTTTACATAGGCAGAGATTGGCACATACTTCCCGCTTAGTACTGCTTTTGCAGTGTCACCATAAGCATTGGCATGTGGTGCTTTCATTATCATTTGTTTCAAGAATTTTTAATGTTTTCAACATAGTTTTTCTTTGATTTCTCTATTGCTCATGAGTAATTTACTCCACAGTTTTGTACTGTATATTTTTCATTTTTTTATTATTCATTTTTTATTTTACTGCATTAGATTCAGAAAAGATGAGTGGTATAATTTCAGTTTTTTTAAAAAGGTCTGATTTAGCTATGACAAATTGTGATATAACAGCCACTGTTAATTCCTATTATTTTGTTTTGAAATCCTGTATCATTTTTAATGTTCTTGCTTTGTTTTGTTTATGTCTGTGATGTTGGCATTTTGTGATTTTCTTTTTTTTACTACAGTCTTTAAAATAAAGAAAAAAACGTTTGATTTGTTTTGTGATCTCCCGTGTTCTATCCTGATACTACTCAATGTCCTGTTGGGAAGGATGCATATTTCACAGTTACTAGATGCAATGTTTGGTAGATGTTTAATAGGATCCATTAGTCAAAAGTGGAATTTAATCCCGTTGTTCTATTTTTCATTTTTTGTCAGATGATTTTCATTGCTGAGGGGTGTTCAAGTCTGCCACTGTATTTTTGGAGTTTATTTCTCTCTTTAGGTCAATTTGTGTTTCCTTTCAAATATTTATGTGGGCTAAAATTAAGGTATACAGATTTAGAGTCATCACTGTAGGCTAACTGACTCACTTATCACAATACTCTCCTCCTTTGTCTGTTTCATATTATTTTTACATTAATGTCAACTTTTGTCTGATCCAATATAACTGCTTATGCCCTCTCTTGGATTCCACTTGCAAGTAATGTCTGACTCAATTCCTTCTCTTCAGTCTGTGTGTGTCCCCAAAAGTGAAGTAAGTTTCCCGTAAACAATGTATTATTGGGTCTTGGGATTTTAATGCATTCGTGCACTCTGCTTCTTAATTGAAACATTTCATTCCTGCACATTCAAGACATCTCTTCACTGGTAAGGTCTTACCGTAACAATTTTGATACTCATTTTCTATTTTTATTGCAATTATTGGTTTCTTTCTCCTCTCAGACTTTCTTTCTCATAAACTGTGTCACCTTAGTACCATAGTTTGACTTCTTACTTATAATTTTTATTTTGTGTAGTATAGATTTTTGCCCTGCGGTTACCATGAGGCTTGCAGAAAATGTTTGCTTATAGCAAGCTATTTTGAAATAAGAGCAATTTACAATTGATCATAAATTTGTGAATAAAACAAATAAACCAAAAGAAAAATACTAATAAAAATCATTGCACTTGCCTTCCATTCTGCCCCACACTTGAAAATTTGATATCCTAATATATTTTCTTTTTCATAATCTATTAAATGTAGCCAGTATGATTTTATTTTGTTTTATATTCATACTAAAAAATGCATAGTTTATCCACCATCTTAACTTGAAATCATTTGAATTTCATTCCATGTGATAGATTCTTCCTACTCATTAACATCTCTTTATTTCTTTTGGAAGAACACCTGCTAGCATTTTCATAGGGCAGGTTTCATGGTGTTCAGTGTACTCAGCTTTACTAGAGACAGGTTTCTTAATTGGTAGGGCTTTATTTCCAGGAAATGTTTCTTTGTATTTTGTCTTCAGTAATATGAAAATCTCATCCAGCAATCTATAATGGCCTATAAAGTTTTTCATAAGAACTGGGTTGCCAGGAAAATTATGATAACTTCAGGTGTTATCTGGTTTCCTTTTTCTTTTGCTACCCTGAGAATCTTCTCTTTATCCCTAAACTTGGTGAATATGTTTATAGTGTCTTGATGTAGACTTTGTCCAATTGAGCTGAACTGGCCTTTGAACATACTGGATCTGGGTATTTGTTTCTTTATGTTTGGGAGCTTTCCAGTCATTGCTGTTTTAGTTAAACTTTCTACCACTTTGACATTTGTAAGTCCCTCTTGAATTCCAGTAGCATAAATATTTTCTGATGTAAAGCTTTCCTCAAAGCCCTTTAAGATTTCTCCATTCTTAATCGTTCATTTTTTTCCCTTCCAGCTGTGTATTTTCAAATGATCTCTCTTGATCTTGTTAATTCTGTCATCTATTTTGTCTAGTCAGCTAATTGCTCCCTTTACTCACAATTTTGATTTCTCTTAGTGCACTTTTCACTTAAGAATTGGTATTTGATTTTTCAAATTGCTTCCAAATGTCTATTAATTTTCAATTTCTCTGTGTTTTCTTGATACCTATAGGGTTTCTTTAAAACAGTTGTTTGATTACTCTGAGTGTTTGAATTCTCTATAAGATCAGAGTTGTCACTTTATTTTGTTCTTTAAGTGAGGACAATAGTTCCATGAAGTTCTTGATGTTTCTTGGCATGGAATAACATCCATTAAATAAAAGATTGCACATTTATCACAACCTTCATAGCCTGTGAATATTTTCACTATGTTACAATGAAAGGGCACCCTAAGATCTGGTTGGCCTTGAGGTGTATATTAACATGTTGTTCTTTCAGCACTAGAGGGTAACCCAAGCTCAGACTTGCCTGAAAACCTTAGTGTGTTGTACTAAAGGACCCAGAATAGTGTCTACAAAGGGTACTTTACTTGACACAAATATATATTGAAATTCCATGCCTGAGGCCATTGGCCTGTGGTCAAGTACCACAGGATTCTGCTTTTAAGGCTTTGTTTGACTGGCGTTGCCAGAAGAAGAAACCCAGGCAATGATTTTTCAGCTACATCATTTTTCTTGCCCTAAGGAGAAATTCCACTGTTTGTGTTCACTGCGGGGGGAGTTTAGGGAAGGAATACAGTGGTCAGTTCCAAGCTAATACAATGAGTATTTGTGCAGTGCCATGGGTACTACACCTTAGCCCACAGCCCACCAACAATAATACAAATACATTGAGGAATGTAACAGCCTTTATTTAAGGTCTGAGAATTTTGGTTACATTACAATAAAAGCATTTTTCTTTAAAAATGCATGAACTGTATGTTTCAAAGCGCTGAAAATATATTCAATATGTATAACTTTGAAAGGCTGAACTCGATGTGTATAATAACATTTGTATGCTATTATATCTCAGAAAAATGCCTATCATAATCAAAAAGAGTTACCACTAATTATGTACCAAATGGCTAATGTCACAATGTGTTGTATCAAGCAGTAGATAAACTGTGAAGCAACACAACGTTCCTATATTATGACGCTGATTTTAGTTGAGAGAAGTAGTTCTTAAATGCTTTATAATACTGAACAATATCAGAATATGTTTGACTTAGTTACTTCCTCATTGCTGGAAAAAAACACCAGACACATACCACTGGAAGCAGGAAAAGTTTAATTGAGATCATAGTTTATAGAGGTTTCCTTCTACATTTACCTGGCTCTGAGGAGTATGGCATGCCATTAGGGGAATGGCAGGAGGCATGCCAGAGGAGAAACAGTGTACGGTAAGACATGTAGGAAGCAGCAAGCACTGAGTTTGCATTCTTTCTTTTTCTAGTTTTTTCCATTCAGGTTACAAACGTATTGGGTGGTGCCACCCACAGTCAGGGTGAGCCTTCCTATCATCTAGACCCAAACCATGTTACAGCAATTAGTAGACTTAGTTATCACACACCCTCAACCCATATTCACACAACCTAGATCCAGCCACCTCCTAAGAGCCTCAGCTTTGAGCACATGAGTCTTTGGAGGGAAATCTAGATGAAAACCACAACAATGTTAGTATCTTATGAACTGGGAATTTGGCTGGTAAATGCATGATGATACATATATAACCATGTAATATTCATAACTGATCTTACTTAAGGCACATTAAAAAGAATGGGGAAACATACTTTAGTGTTCATTTGTCTTAGATTATTATTCAGAAAAACAATGAACATAATACAGATATAAAAAAAACTTAGGTAAAATCATCCAAAAGATGTACAAAACACATGGTTTGATTCCATTTACATGGACTTAAAAATAAGCAAAAATGAATTACTAAATACAAGAATGAATGATAGAAAAAGGGAAGAAAATAATTACACCACATGTTATCGTGAAATTTAAATTTGGAGGAATTATTATATTAATGAAGGATAATTTCCAAGCTTATTGATGGTATTCAAAAGTTCATTTCTTAGTCCAGAGGCTGCTTGTCTGGTTGTTTCCCTTGTCATAATTCAGTTATTTTATATTTTCCTGATTGAATTATACAACAAATAACAGGGAAAAATATACTTGCACTACTTAGTTTTTTCTCAATACTTAACACAAAACTATAATAATAACTACTTATAATTTTTTTCTATATAGGTCTAAGGGATGCCAGCGAGGAACTTTAGTTGAAAAGACCAAAAGCCAAATAAGTTAAACAACTTGAAATATTAATATAAATGAAGTATATTTTCCTTCACATCTGAGCCAATCAAGACTATTGTACCTTCTTAAATTATCAGCTTTGGGATTTGCAGGCTTTTCTCAGATGTACATATTTCAGAAAACACAAATAGTTTCATCATCCAAGTTGTTGGAGTCAGTGCCGATCAAGATGGGTTTTTGGAGAAAAACACTTTCAAAACATGGCTGCGGATTTGTTTCGTCTTGACTCCATAGACAATAGGGTTGAGGAAAGGTGGGATTAGCAGGTACAGATCTGACAAGAGAATGTGAACATACGGGGGGATGTGAGAGCCAAACCTGTGTGTGAAGAAGGAGAAGAAGGCCAAGAGGTAGAACTGGAGGAAGACACAGATGTGAGCGATGCAAGTGTTGAAAGCTTTCAGTCGGGCCTCCTTCTGAGGCAACTGAAAAACAGTGATAAAAATTCGAACATAGGACAAGGTAATAAAGATGATGTCAAACCCTAGTATGAGGAAGGCAACCAATAGGCCCAAAATCTTGTTGACTCGGGTATTTTCAGTGGCCAGTTTCACAATAGCCATGTGCTCACAATAAGAGTGAGTGATAACTGTAGTTCGATAGTGCTTGAGACGGCATTTGATAAGCAAGATACATGGAACAATAAGAATGAGAGCCCTGAGCGTCACCCCAACTCCAAGGTAACTCAGGAGCGGCCAGGAGAAGATAGTGGCATGTCTCAACGGGTGGCAGATGGCCACGTAGCGATCCAGGGCCATTGCCAGCAGGACACCTGACTCAGTTGCCTGGAAGGAGTGAACAAGCCCCATTTGCAATAGGCAAGCATCAAAAGAAATCTCTGGAGAATGAAACCAGAAGATGCCTAACATTTTGGGAAGTATAGAAGTGCTGAGAGCTATGTCTATGGCTGCCAACATGGCCAGAAAAATGTACATTGGTACATGTAAACTGTTTTCATTTTTTATTATAACTAAAATTGTAGTATTCCCAATCACAGCAAGGATATACATGACACAGAATGGAATCCCAATCCAACACTGCACTGACTCCAGGCCAGGAATCCCAGTGAGTGTCAATACAGAAGGCATGAAGACTGAGCCATTCAGTTTAAACATGGCTACTTTGCTGGCAGAGAACCAAGTAGTGGTATTGCTGTTTCATCTTCTATTCCATGTCAAGACCTGATGTGCAAGATAGAGAGGAATTATTTTAGTATAACATACGTCAGTCAGCTTAGTCTCCTTACAGTCTTACTCTGCTGTCATGGATCCCCAGAATGCATTCATATTTATTCTCCAAAGGTTCAGTGTTTCCCCAAGACCAACCACTACTTGCGCTTCTTTTGTTTCTACTCTTACTTATCTGAGAAAATAAGGCCATAATTTTGGGTTTAAGGTTTTCTCCGAGGTCATGCTCACCTTCCATGCCCTGCTATGTCCTATCCCTTGTATTTAATATCACATGCCAACCCATGTCTCCTGATTTCTCTGTTCAAGAATAACTACTTTAAATCTGAGGCTTGAGAAATCATTTCTGATGAACCCTTTAAAACAAGATGGAATGTTCTAAGCAAATCAGTTCTCTGTTCTTTAACATGCATGGGTTTAATCCACTCAAAACAAATATTCTCACAGTGCTTTCATGGCACCACCCACGTCCTCTTCTCCTCCTGTCCCTCTCAGCCTTTCACTGGTCACCCCCAGCCCAGGGCACAGCAGACTTCCAGAGCCTCCCTTCTCTTTCACTGTAGATTTGCTTCAGGGTAGGGAGACTTTGTTTTGTCTGCTTGACAGCCTGTGTTCCTAATACTTACAGCCTGTATTTTAAGCAGTATAGGTTGTACTTCTTTTAAGAAGTATAGCCTCTCTTTGCAGAAGTACTTGCCCCCCAGGATATGGAAACTATAAAACAGCTTACCAAATACATCAATTTTCTTTTAGTAATTACAAAGTCATTTTTGAAACCATTTAGGTAGAGTTTGAAATACATAAACCCTGTGAAGGTGGTATAGAACACCGGAAGGCTTAGAATACTGTGAATATTGTTTAAAACAGTTTCTATTACTAAAAAGAAACCCTCATGTCCTTATCATGCATTTATTGTTGCTTTTCCTGTAACCCCAATAAAATTAGATCAACTCTAAGCAAAGATAGGACACTTATAGCACATGTGAGATAAGCAGCAGGAGTATTTACTCCTTTATTTTCTTCACTTTCAACTTTCTGGGAAATTTTTCTTGTAACAAATATAACGTGTTAAAGTACAAAGTTCCTCATATCAGATTGTAGTTTAAAATGACATAAATTAAAAGATTTTTGCATAGCAATTGTATTCAAGAATTATTTATGAACTATCTATATTGCTTGAAATGTTTGAGAACAATACACTCATTTACTCTATATTTATGAAGTGCCTAAGTTGTGTTAGGTGCGTAGAATACAAAAGGCGGCATTTTTCCATTTATTGCATATGTATAAAATGTCATTTAGTCTTTTAAATTCTTTGAATATTTTGGGTTAGCTTACTTTCTTCAGTTTGTGACATTGACATCATTACTTTATAATATTAATGTTAAAAACTAAGAATTATCATAGGTAAATCTCCTTGGAGGCAAATTTCATGCCATATTGAGCCACAAAAAATAAAAAAACAAGTCAAGTCCATATGTATTGAGGTTTATCACAATTATTCAGCTGATAAAACATTATATATGTGTATATATTATATTATGTTTCTATTCTATATACACATATATCAGTATTACTGAGTCAGGTTGGGTTATATTTAAGTATACTGAAGATAAGTTATGGCGTTCCAGTTGAAATTCTGAAAGTACTCCATATAAGTACAAATTATACTTCATATAACTTGTGAATCTTCATAATTCACAAAATTGTTACAGATTTACAGAATATATTTATTTTATCAGGTTTGTAGAATTTTTTTTATCCTGCCCACCTCATGTATGGATAAAAAATCTTTTACATTTGCAAAAGTATAGCATTGATAGCATTCATATAATGGTCAGAAATCTTTGTGTTTTATCTCAAAAATATTTATCTTCCCTCTCTCAAGAATATTAAAATTGGAAAATCTAAATGGCCACAAGAACAATAGTTGACATGGAAAATAACTAGAACCCAATATACAAAGTACACTTTGAGAAAAATCAGATGCAGAAGTGCAAAAGTTTGTAAGAATGTAAGTCTAATAAACTAGAAAGTAAACCCAATAGTAATTCATGTTTTCAGTCTATTAGGTCACAGATCTTACTGGAAAACTAATGACTTTGCTCCTGGTAGTTATCAATTTCCTACTCCCAAGAGCTTGGGCTCACACTATCCTTGGGCAGGATTTCTTAGTCTCAACATAATTGACATTTTGGGCCAAGTAAATTGTGCGAATCTCCTATATACTGTCAATAATTTAGGAGCACCTTTGGTTCCTGCCCATTAGATGCCAGGGGTACTTTCCTATAGCAAAAATGGAAGATTCCTCTGGCTTCCACAAGTCCCCTGGATGTGGGGAGAGTGACATATCTCCCTGGCCCCATACTAACCACTGTGGCAGAGTCTTACACTGCGGAGGGGAGGAGTCCTTACTTGAATATGAATAAATCACTTTATTTACCTTTAATCAAATTTGGTAGAATAGGGCCGAAGATATAGCTCATGACACAAGCGCCTACCTGGCATGAGCAAGGTCCTGAGTTCGATTCCCGGTACCAAAAAGAAAAACAAATGGGCAGAGTGAAACTGTCCAGTGAGAGAAAGAATTCTTCTGTCAATATGCTATAAAGAAAGTAATTCCAAGAATAAGAAAGAGCTAACTCAAACCACAGAGGACAGAACACGTGCTGGCACTGTGAATCCATAAATATTGCAGCATGTAAATTATTCCCCATAAGCAGAAATGACAGGAGTTGTGGGTAATGAAGGTGGGGGGAGAAAGACCACAAGTAATAGTACTATTTTATGCCAAATAATTTCAAATTTTTGTTGGCAGCAGGTAGCGTACTTTCTGCTTACTAAGAATCTAATCTGCAACAGCTTTGTGAAGAATGTAAAGGGCGTGCATGGTAGAAGGCAAGAAGGCTATGACAGGAAGCTGTTTGCGGTGGCGGAGATGGCCTACAAAGGCGCTATGTGGCAACCGTGAAGGGATGAGAAGGGAGCAAATCTATGGGACTCACTGACTTGATGCAAAGACACTGAGAGAAACTGGTCTAAAACTGTTCTTGGATTGAGCATTACTATGCTGGTTTACGAAAGGTAATCTGGGGAAGAATTTTGTGTACACAAATGCACATAGGTTTTAAAAAAGAAATAAAGCTTTTTTCAACTACTAATATCCCTTACCCAAGGTGCACAATGTGAAAATTTGGGTTTTCTGTGTATTAATATAAACTGAATCACTAGTACTACCTACAACTCCAGTTCTGTCTCAGGCTAATTTCAAGGATTTAAAATTTTTTAAGGACTTGAGCATCTAAACCTAATCTAATTAGGAACACTAATTTTAATCCACATGCTCTACAATTTCAATACTCTCTTCTATTTATACTGTGTCCTATATTTTTTAAAATTTGATTTCTGCCTTAAACTCTCCACTGACACAAAACTCTTATTTTTTCCTGAGGTTGTCTTCCACATTATAAATGTGAGATGTATCCTCCTTATAATGGGCCCTAAACTACCTGCTCTAAATTTCTCATAAAAGTTCTAAATCTACAGTCAAACAGTAGACATTTCCATGGATGACAGTAATGAATTTTACAGAATCTGAAGCAGTCAGGAAAGCTCCAATTCCAGATCAACCGCTGGTCAGTTTTCAGGCTCTGAGCCAGGTATAAAAGAGAAAGTTCCTCAGTTCTATCTTTGGTAGAACACAGGGAATGGACAGAGACATTGCAAGACAACTGTGAAATTCAAATTACAAAATCCATTGATAATATTTATGAAGAATTATAAAATGTATTATTTTCTCAGCAAAAGCCAGTTATGAATCCCCCATAGAAACTTATCCTCCCCTTTGCATGAAACAACTTCAGACACTTGATGACACAGAGAATTTCCTCCAAATCTTCTCCATTCTAAGAATGTAGACTCCCCTGACTTGTTTTGAAAACAAGCTTACCAATAACATATTAGCATAGATACTATTCTATAAACGCCCTCTTATTTGTTAAACTCACTTTAAAATTTCTCATCCTATATTTCAGTAATTTAGAAATATTCTGGAAAGCACATGTTCCTATGAGACAAATCCTTATGGACTTAAAACACTCAAACATTTTAAGACACTGCAGTTTGTTATCTTCCTGCCATCGCAGAGGATCACATAAAGTGTGCACTCTTTTTGAAGCAAATCCTTTATTTCCTGACCCACAGAGCAGATTCTTAAGCCCACATACTTACAGGGACTGTATGTGGAAAAGTAAGCAGAAACTTCAGAGTGGAAACTTCTTGATGTTTCAGGCAGCGAAGGATGAGTATTTTGTACCCTAGGATGCCCCTGTGGGATTGGGCTTCTCTAATGCTTGCTGATCCTTAAGGTTCTCCTCTTGTAAGGGTGAAAAACAAAGCCAAATGCACTTCAGAGCTAAGAGGTCTATTATGCAACTGGGGCTCTGCATCAAATTATTTTTCTTTCTCAAACTATGGATATGGACATCTCTTGGAAACTTGCAAATGAAATGATACTTTTAAAAAATTCATATCAGGAGACAGTGTCATAAAATGACACAAAATAAACCAGGGGAACTTATATACAGAAAGAATGAGGTATAAAGGAAATAAAAATTCAGATTAATCACTATAAATGCATGCTGACATAAAACTAAATGTCATCATTTAATTCTAAATCCAGTATGATAACCAATGATTTTTTTTTAATTTTAGAAATAAAAGGAGGAAAATACTAACAGACTGACAACATTTTACAAAATAGCATAGGATCAGTACAGACATTACAGAGTTACAAACAGAGTGGTAGGGAATTAACAATGCTTATTGTATTACATATTGATATCTTCAATGTAGTTTCTCATGAAAACACATATAGACATACAAAGCTAATCAACCAATACCTCACTGACAGTTTCTTTCAGCAAGGACCAATGATTTTTATAGTACACAAATGGGCCAGCTTCAGAAAGTATACTTATATCTTCTGTCCTCTTTAGGCCTCTAAGGTTGAATTCTCCTTGTGCAGATAACATAAATATTTCCTACACGCAAACCAGGTATCACAAAGTTGGTCTATCATGTTTAGAATTTTGACCTGATGATTTGTATTTTCAATAACTTTAGTGTGAAATTATACATATATATAATATTTATATGTTCTCAGAACTATGTTTTGACTTTTATTTTCTTGATAGAAAAAAGAGCCTGTGCCTCAGGAAAGTAGTTTTCAAAATGGAAATAAAGAGTGAAATCATGGTAAGGACTGAAAGGTGGGTATGTTGCACTCTATGATAAGTCATGGTGACTCACTACTGTGGATAGCTATATATTGTGCACTTGAAAATTACTAATAGATAAGATTTTTAAGTGTTGTTGCTACAAAATGTGTGTGAGGTAATGAACATACTAAATTTTTTTGAGAAAAAAAAGGAGGCAATTGACAGTGATTTTATTTTTTTGTACTATATTAATTCATTTTTTATTAGAACACTTTTGCAGAGGATTACATTCCTCTTGGGAAGGTGATACAACCACATATTTCTTGATGTAGCCATTCCTAGATCAAAAATATCATGTTGTGTGCCACCAACTTACATAACACTTCAGTGAAGAGAAAAGAAAAGGGAGTTAAAATTTTGGTTTTAAGAAGAGGAAAAAAGATTCTTATTCTCTGCATTGTACAGAGAAGAGGCTGCCTACTCTGCATCGTTTGCACTTGTTTGGAAGACATAATGAAGATCCACGTCACAGCTGTTTGTCTTGTGTCACTTAGTCTGACCTTGTTCACCAAACCGTTTGTTTTCCATTTACAGCTCTTTTGACCTCATAGGTAATCACTAAATTCACATAAATTGGTAGCCCATCTCGTAAAAACAGTAGTTTAGCTAGGTTTGAGGTCAGCCATGTGCTAAAGACAGCTCCTACTACTTGGAAAATCAGTGGCCCACGTATCTTTCAGGTCTGCACTTAGTGACATGATGTTGGGAACTTGAAATTTGCCATTCCCAGACACCTATATGAGGAAAACCAGCAAACAGTACAAAAAGAGAGCCAATCCCCCACCCAAGGAGCAGAAGAAGAATCCAAAACAGAAGGATATATTTTTCAGGGAAAATAAGATAAATATTTTGCAGATAGTATGTTCAGGTAAGGTCAGTGGCTTCTGATAGCTATTTACTGTTCATATGTTCTATGGCCAACATAGCTAACCTTATTTATTGACTCCTAAGATATATTGGGAAAGGTACAAAAACTGTCTGAACCTTGAAGAATTATAGTACTATAGATTTCTATTATGAGGATTATTAGGAAGCTAAGCACACTATTTTACTCATTGCAAACACTGATGCAATTTTTTGGAAGATAACTTTGGGATTTCTAGAAACCTCGGAAAGTACTATCATAGAATATGTTTCTCTTTCAAGGAATCTTATGTCCATTAATTTATCTTTTAATTTTCTTGGTACAAATGTCTGAGATGGTAGTAAACACTCTTGCTTGCCGCATTTTCCTTGAGGAGATCCATTTTTTTAAATTTCTATTTGCAGATCTCAGTTTGAAAGTGGCCCTAACAATTTCAAGACTACTCCACTGGAACAGTCTAGCCTCTGACCTAGATATTTTATGAGGTTGTTGCCAGTGGAAATTGGTGCAAAAGTTTGTAGTTTCACATTCTCTTTCTTTGTTACTCCTACAGCCCCACCCTCTTCAGAATATTTGCCAAAGCTAGTAATTGCCAAGCCTATTTCAAAAGTTTTGTAAATAAGCTTAAAACTGTTGGAGGCCACCCAAACCTAGTCCCCCACTTTATTTTTATGTATCTGTCACTATCTAACACTCTTTAAGATGAACATTTTTAGTCAATGACATAGATTCACTCACTGAAATGTCCTACTACCTACCTGACACAATGTGTCTTCACTTTCTTGGTCACTCATTATTCCTTAAGAGTCAGATTACCTAACTAAAACACCAAATTCTCTCTTTTTTCCCCTTTTCCCTGCTCTCTTCTTTCCAGCCCTCCTATCTCTAATTTTCTGTTTTCTTTCTCCCAGAAAAAAACACTCAGCAAAAATGCATAACAGAAGGATATGTATTAAACTTATTACTATAGTACTATTCTCTTGCATAGAATTTGCAATAGTGTGATTTTCTTTAGCATTTGAAGAATGAAGATGTAAATGTTGGAGGTAGTAGAAAAATTATTGATACATAAAATTCAACATGTAACTCCCATAATCTTTGTGACTGAGACTTCTGAATGACCTTGGGAATATTTAAATTTTTAGACATTTTAATGGGCACTGTAAAACCTTTTTTGGATAAGACCATATTTAAGAATCTCTTCCTTCAGTCGTTTAATGACCAAGGTTTTTCAGAGCTAACAGAGTGAACAACTTGTATTCAGTGCTTGAACACACCAGGATGAGGAGCCCAGGGTACAGCTCAGTTCAGTGACATTTGTGTACCGCATGAATTCTTCTAGAAAAGATTCATAGAGGAGCGACTGAAGCAGGGATTAAAAACTAAAAGGGAAAATGGGATAAAATATGTTAACTATTTTTCTTCTGTTTGTATTCTTCACTCATTCCTTAAGGAGGATGTGCAAGCCCATTGACTGACAGCTGTCAGGGACTACTGCCATCTTGTGGGCAAATTTCACGAACCAATTGCCCTAAATGGAAAACTTTGATATCTCACATGATGTGGGTGGTTGCTGTCGTTTTGTTCTGAGAGATGGTTATATTGCACAGCAAGAAAGGGAGAATATTATGAGCAGCACATTTTTACCACATTTATACGGATCTGCTTGGTCTTTATCCCATAGACAATTGGGTTGAGGAATGGAGGGACCAGCGAGTAAAGGCTAGAAAGGAGGATATGGATCCACGGGGGGATGTGAGAGCCAAACCTGTGTGTAAAGAAGGAGAAGAAGGCCAGGAGGTAGAACTGGAGGATGACACAGATGTGAGCAATGCAGGTGTTAAAGGCCTTAAACCTCGCCTCCTTCTGGGGCAAATTGAAAACTGTGATAAATATCTTGATGTAGGACAATGTGATGAGTATGAAGTCAAACCCTGCGACAGTGAAGGCCACAAACAAACCATAGATTTTGTTGACCCTGACATTTCCTATGGCTAGTTTCACAATGGCCATATGCTCACAGTAGGAGTGTGAGATGACCGTTGTGTGATAAAATTGGAACCGACACTTTATCAGTACTAGGCATGGGGCCACAAGCATGGCAGCCCTCAGGGTTACAGCAGCTCCTATCTGAGTGACCAGCTGGTGTGTGAAAACCGTGGCATGTCTTAGTGGATAGCAGATGGCCACATAGCGGTCAAGGGCCATGGCGAGCAGAACGCCTGATTCTATGCCTTGAAATGTGTGGATGAGCCACATTTGAAACAGGCAACAATCAAAATCGATGTCTGGCAAATGAAACCAGAAGACTCCGAGCATCTTGGGCATAATGCTGGTAGAAAGTGCGATGTCTGTGGCTCCTAGCATGCCCAGGAAAATGTACATGGGCTCGTGGAGACTATGCTCTGACCTGATGATAAACAGAAGCACAGAATTTCCAATCATAGCGATAAGGTACATGGCACAGAATGGGATTCCGAGCCAGCACTGCACAGACTCTAGGCCTGGGATCCCAGTGAGGGTCAAAACAGAAGGCATGAAGACTGAGATGTTGGAGGTCAGCATAGCATTCTTGGGCTTCCTAATGTCAACAGAAAAAGATTCACACATCTACTGTAAATCTACTTTGAGTTTCTATCGAAAGCCACCGTACTGTGTCTGTTTAATACTGATGGAAGCCTAAGGTCATCTCAGCCAGCTCATTGATATTACGGATGGGGAAAGACAGCTCCACAGGGACACATGACTGCTTTCAGAGAGGGTTTCCACCATGACTCTGCCACAGTAAGATGTTACATGCATGAGAGATTGACTGCCTTCGAATCCGCAAAATAGATTGGGTCAGGACTATCCTGCTCATTGTCTGTTAATTCATTTCAAGACCTGTGGATGAAGAAATAGGGCTTGCTTATTTTTATTGGAAATTCAAAGTGTCATAAGATACTGATATGTCTTTCCAGATCCTGCATTTTATCTGTTCTTCTAGTAGTACTCTTATTCCTGTCATCTTTTAGTGAGAAAAAGTCAGTTTGGATCTGCAAATTTTTGGGTACAATTAGTGTAAAGTGGGCTCTACGAAAGAGAATAGAGATAGAAATAGTTAAAAGTCAATAGCAGAATATAAGCCAGGTGTGATGGTGCTCACTTTTAATCTCAGGGCTCTGGCAGGCTGAGGAGTTAGAAGTTGAAGACTTACTCAAGTTTTAAAAAGTGGATGGGCTGGGGATGTGGCTCAGCAGTGCAGCACCTGCCTGGCAAGTGTGAGGTCCTGAGTTTGGTTCCTGGTACCAAAATAAATAAATGAATAAAATAGAAAAGGGGGAAAAGACGGAGCTGTAGCTCAGTGTCAAGTCCCTGGGATCAACACCTAGTACCACAGAAAGAAAGAAGGAAAGAAAGAAAGAAAGAAAGAAAGAAAGAAAGAAAGAAAGAAAGAAAGAAAGAAAGAAAGAAAGAAAAAGAAAATGTATCTATATCATTTGTATCTATATAGAAATTCCAACTCATAGAAGTAAGACACATGGTACAGAATATTTGAAGAAATCCTTAAAGTATTCTGAAGAAAATTCTTCAGAAAAGAGAATTCGAATATTTTTCCCAATTTCTAGTTTTCTTCTTTTTTATTGGTACATGTTTGCAGTGCATGCTGATTATATTTACTGCTGGGAATTGATAATGTATATAATACATATATGAACTTTGATATGTCTGGGCCAATGCATCTTGCAATTTTGAATTTCTACTTTAATTGCTTACTTTTGATTAGATTTCCAATAGCTCATATCCTTACAGATAGTTGTTCACTTAAAGTGGCTAAAATTCTCTGACACATCACAGCATCCTAGAAAAGAAACACCCCTAAGAAACAAAATAATGAACAACTCTAATGCACATAACGAGAAAGAACATTCTTAATGAAATCCAAATATAGGAAAATGGGCAGATGTATAATTTATCCAGAATGAAAGCTAATTCCTTGGCTTTAAACTTCCCAAAACTATGATTAGCATAAGATATGACCCATGTAGATTCTTTAGTTTGTAATTAAATATCATTATTTTGTGAGCTTAGCTATAAGAAATCCACAATAAATAAAGTGTTAAAAAGATTTCTTTAAAAGAGCCAGATATAGTACCAGGTAAGGAAAACAGATAATAGATTTTGTCATATCAGAAATTATTCAGATGAGGACTTCCAAATAACTTAAAATTTAATCAGTTCTGGATTCCACTGACTGAATTTTCTCATAGCTTAGGCTCTGATACCTGATATGAAAGTTGTTTAATCAAAATCTTGTTATAGTTACAGATATTTAGTCAAGAAATTCTTAAACTGTGTATTAGAGAATTATCCACCTTTTGTGGAGAATAATACTAAGTTATTTTATTCATTCCTAGTCTTTCTAATGCATTTTCTGTATTTTGGCAGGCTCAGGATTCAGCTAAACTTATATCTCATATCAATAGTGCACCAGTAATTCCATAAGCACCTGGACTTAATGATCCTAAACCTACAGTAAAAGATTAGAATCAGCAGTAGTTGTTTTGTGCTGGAAAAGCTCTACCATTTGACACTTGTTAGGATAAATTTGTCAGTTAACTAAGTACGATGCTTTGCACAGATTTGCTCTCAAACGTTTAGTCCTATCACATTACTATCTGTAGGTCACTGACTCTTTCTAATAGGGGCAAATTTTCATCTCTTCTAAAGATAATCAGAGTTACAAGAGCTAATTCTTTAGGAGCAATCATCTCCTGACTTATTCCAGCCTAACCTGCTGACCCATGAGCTCTGCCCTACAGGTAGAGACATACAGAAGTGATGGTTAAGGGGAGCGGGTAAGGATCTAGTTAACTGACTTGTGCGGCTGTTATTGCAAAAGCTGGTAAAGACATTCTGGGGCAAAAACTTCAGAACATGGAGGCTTGCTCCCCAGGTGTTCTCTGTGAGCTGGCTGTGTTCTTACCAGGTGTCTGAAGAGCACTGTCAGTTCTCCTGTCACTGTCACTCATCACTCACTGATGCTCTTCCAGAGACTTCAGTCTCACTCCTTCACACCTTCTGCTGTGTGTTCTGTGTAACGGCGCCCATGTGGTGTCGGTCAGATGGTGGGAACATCTCTGCGAGAGCTTTTCACCCTTCTCTTTGTCTTGGCAATGCACATGCCTTGCTTCCTCTTTAAGTCTGTCTGAGCCCATGCTTGCCTGTTCACCTTCTAACAAATCTCATGGCAAGGTCTGTGGCATTCTAGAACACGGTGTAAATTTCTTCAGCTCAATTTGGAGAAGAAAGCTGCCGTGAGCAATTCTGATGCTCCCTGATGAAAGTTTGGAGAAGAAGGAGGAGTTATCAACCTGGAAGAGGGATCCTCATCCCTAGCCAAAACCGTGAGGGACCTACATACATATTGGCAGCCCTCTTGGGTTCATTCATACCTAACATGCCTCTAATTCCCTTGACACTTGCAGAAGTCTCCCTCTGTTTTTTTTTTTTTCTATCCCAATAGCTAAACTCAGAGGGACTGTGATGTTTAAGTTTTCTTTTTACAAGCTAAATTCCTTTTCTGCTGTTTTCTTATAAAAATCTAAATGCCTCTCTGCTGGATTTTTAAAAATATTTTTGTGGCACTAGGAATGAACCAAGGGCCTTTGCACTGAGTTACATACCTTGCATTTATTTGTCTGTTTGTTTGTTTGCATGCTTATTGAAACAGGAATTTCCCAGAAATTAAATTTCCTCAGGTGAGTTTCAAATTTGCAACATCCCTGCCTGACCTCCTTCTAAAGGGATTATATCCTCCCCTGGGTGTAAAGCACTCTTAGATACAGACATGTTTGTATAACAGTTTCACCCTGACTTAGAAAATCCGTGTGATAACTTCTTTCGTGGAAACAAATTTCATTTTCTTTCTACAAGGAAAAAAACCTATCTTCATAATTACTGCTTTATCCCATATTGACCTCTTGGTCTTTGGCAGTCTCATTTGTCCCAGTTTCATTTTGCTCACGCCCTTTTTGCAAATTTAGCAATGTCCCCAGAGTGACCCATCATAATAGACAGTCCTACCATGTGGAAGTCTAACTACACTGTGGCACAATTCAGTACATTTTTATTCATTCTTTATTTGTTACTTTGCTTTCTTCTTTCAAAAATCAGTGGTGATATGCTGCTTATGTGTTAAAGAATCTCTTCATGTACGTAGGATCAAAACACAAACATTCAAATATCACGGTCCTCCAATTACTGTTCTGTGAGTTAGGATGTCATTTATCATGAAAGCATCAAGAAAATGTACATAGATGTGCACACACCTGAGTACTTCACACGTCCACACCAGTGTCCCACACTCTCCTGTTTGTAAATGGCCCAGAGGTACCTGATGAAACATCAAAGTGTTGCCTTGCTTACGAAGACTAGTAATGGTACAAAGCTCCGACAGTGGATTCCAGGGAGAATACAAGGTAAAGAAGAACATGAAAGGAATCTGATACGCTCTGCCCTGAATTTCCCCTGTGAAAGAAAGTGAAGAAAGTATTAACTGAAGCTGGATGGACTTGACTCAAAGAATGTATGGGCATGTAGGATAACCCTCAGCTTATTCTTGAGTCATAAACAAATACTTTACAGTAGCTTGGTTCCTTTTTCTTCTGTTTTGTTAACTGTAATTAGATGTATCAACTCCCTAACCTTCTATCCTAGGTTCTTTTCATTCTCCCGTTATACACATTTTCTTGTAACTCCTTCCACTTAGAATAATTTAGCTGCCACTTTCATTAGGACAACTCTGATAACAGTGTTTCTAGTTTTATCTCTCGATTCCAGTCACAAAGATTGAACATGTCTCATTCAAATTTCACTTCATGTCACATATTTTTTAAGAAACTGTCACTGATGGCTTTATTTAACACTATGGGGGGTAAAATATGTTCTTCCTGTTTATTTTTAAAATTTGTTTTAAAGAGAATAAAACATAATAAAAAAACCATTAGAACTGATACAGAATTTCAAAAAGCAGGATAGTAATTCAATAATAGTTGTTATATTGCATATTGTCATCTTCAAAGTAGTTGTTCAGATCACCAGATAAAAGCACATAAAATTGATGAAAAACATTAAGCATTAACTGTTCCTGTCAACAAACCAAGAGAAATTAGTAGTATAATTTTCTTAGTTGTCACATATATATTTTTCCTTCCTTCTTTCTTTTCTCCTTTCCCTCATCTCAGTTGTTCTTTCCATTTGAGCAGTTGCTTTCCCTTTCATAATATCTGTTGTACCTTTGGATTGTATTTACTCTTTCAGTTTCAGCAGAAATTAATGCAACTGAGACTAAGAAAACAATTCAAAAATGAATGAAATAAAGAATTGATTCTTTGAAAAAATAAATAAAATTGATAAACCCTTAGCCAACCTTACAAAAAAGGAAATAAAAACTCAAATTCATGCAATAAGAAATGAAAAGGGTAAAATCACTATAGATCCTATGGAAATTCAGAAGATCATCATACCTTTAGATTTTTCAGAAAATCTCTACTGTCTTAGGATGGAAAACACAGGAGAAATGG